GAGAGAGAGAGAGAGATCATCGAGGTCAAGGACACAAAGTTCCTTTCATGCCCGAGGACTCAAGCAGACTATATTGGATTTTAAGTATCAACACTCATCTGAATCGTACTCCGATGACAAGTAAAACTCTAATAGAATTTCAATGACATGATTCTTGTTCATATTTGTACTTGGGTCTGTGAATTTGGATAGAGTTAAATATATTGTTCATTAAAATTCGATCCCATATTACAATACAAGGGAATGTGAACTTTAAGAATCTTGATCCTATGTACAACAAAACGCAATCCCATTTATTAAGAAACATGCTCTTATGCATAGAAGAAACACTCCTATGCAGATATGGAACATGCTCCTTGAAAGCCAAGGATCTTGATCCCTCTTCATGGCCATGTACAGACCTACTTCCCCCTACCATGGAATTTCGAGCCTGCCTCGCTCCGTGCTTCTACTCCTGATCCCGAATCTTTTGTCACTCATGTTTCGAGTAACTATGATGTTAGGAAACTAACCATTATAAAATATTAAAACATGAAAAGAATCTCCTGGGTATGTTTGGTTCAATGGAAAGCTCTTTCTAGGAGACATTTTTGAGAAATTGGCTTCATAACTTGCAAGGTATAATGCTACTTCCTTATGGAACACTGCTAATTTGTATAGTGGCTTGAACATTTCGCTTTCCTATGTCGCTTACCCAGGAAACAAACATGGGAAAGCGACTTGATCAACAAAAATATCTCTCCCAGTGACAAATTTCCCAATGGGAGATTTCCTAAGATTCCGCAAACCAAACATGCCCTTGAATAACATTGGGAAACTAACTTAACTTGCAAACAATGAAATAAACAACATGGAAAGAATCTCCTGGGTACGTTTAGTTCAATGGAAAGCTATTTCTAGGAGACATCTTTGAGAAATTGGCTTCATAACTTGCAAGGTATAAAGCTGCTTTCCCATGGAACACTACTAATTTGTATAGTGGCTTGAACATTTCGCTTTCCTGTGCCGCTTTCGCATGAAACAAACATGGGAAAGCGACTTGATCAACAAAAATATCTCTCCCGGTGACAAATTTCCTAAGATTCCGCAAACCAAACATGCCCTTGAACAACATTGGGAAACTAACTTAACTTGCAAACAATGAATAAACAACTTAATAGAATTTTAAAGATTCTAAACTTTCTAATCTCGGGAGACCCCAATATTTGGAAGATTGATCTTTATAAAAGATTGGCAAAGTTCCTTACCCTAGGGTTTTAACCCTAGCATTTTTAGACTCAATAGTGGAACAAAAAAAACGTAGCACACTAAGCTAATTTTTCCTGCAGATATGAATAACAATATAAGGTCTGAAATGTCGAATTAGAGATTATGGTTGTAGGACTTGAAGATATCTTTGATTTAAGCATTGGATGATCCCAAATGGGCATCCAAGCGAAAAGTTATGCCCTTCGAAGTTGAGTATGATGTGGAGACCTGAAGTCTTAGTATGGTATGGCGCCTTGTTCTGCGGGGGATGTTATATGGCTTAACTATTGAGAGGCACGGAAGGATACTTCAATGACTTATGGATGAATTGAGTATTGATCTTCTTTCGCCTATGCCACTTAAGTGCGACAATATAAGCATTGGTTAGATCATAGTTACCGGGATCTTCTAAGGAGGGGTCGCTTCCCCTCTAGGATCTCGTTTCAGTGCTCCGAAGTGCAGGATCTCAATTCTGGGGTGATTCCTTGATATTAATGATTCGATTCGGGAAATCAGAAATCTCGATCCTATGTTTATGAGACCCAGATCTCTATACCAAAAATCATCATTTCATGAGTAAGCGGAGCCATGATTCCACCAACATGGAATTGAGTATCCTATGCTTTGGTGTGAGTTTCAGGGGCACATTTTTTTGTTCTTCATATATATATGGAATGTGGATCTTTGATTTTTTTATGCCCTACACACTTTCTAAATGCCATAATTTCCTATATATTTTACAGTTTACAATTTTACACCTTGTGAATTGTGACTTGTGTCTAGTTTTAAATAAATACAACAAGGGAGGGCAAGGAGAGAGAAGTAAGAAGTTGGGATGAGATACAAAGGATAGTCATGTTGCGGTTCTATCGAGGAATAAAGTCCCCAAAAATATGCTAAACTTCCTTGGGGCTAGTTTATTGGGTGTTGTCCACCTCCCAAAGGGCTTCCATCACTTGATTGTTGGTTAACTAAATCGCTTTACACATGGGGTTGCTATGTGGGCGATGGCGTAACATGTATGCTTGTAAACGTAAGGTCTCTCTCTCGTGTATAGGTCTTGTCCCCTTACATCACCGCATTGGTTTTTAGTATCACTACTCATTTATGAAATCTTACCTCTAAGACATCTTCCATGACGTGATTCTTGTTTACATTGGGTTCGTGAATTTGGAAAAAGTAAAAATGTTGTTAAATGGAACTCGCTTCCAGATTACAGTACGATGAATATCTGATCTTTCGGAACCTTGATCCTAACAAGGCCACACATGATTCCGTTGCATAAGGGCTCCACTCCTTTGTAGATATGGAACTCAATCCCTAAAAGTCGGGATCTCGATCTCTACATTTGCCCATGTACGGAACTCGTTCCCTTGACCACAGAACTTCGTGGCTTCCTCACTATTCACTTCTACTCTCAATCCCCGAGCTTTTTTCACTCTTGGCTTGGTAACTATGGCTCAGATTGCCACCAATCCTTTTTCCACACTAAACACATTAAAGGCTGTCTTTTGCTTCTGCCTTGTTATCTCTTACACCCTACTTGTTCACCAAATCCTTGCAACTACTTAAGTTCTTGTGGTAAAAGTCACACTCATTCCCTTATTAGTTATTAGTGCCTCGATTTTCAGTTGGGGAGTTGGGGATGTTAACTCGCTGTACTTATACTCTTCTGAAGGACACTTCTATCATCATATTGATTATTTTTTACTCGTACTATTGGAAAAAGAAAATCCTTAATTCATTTCATATTGCAAGGACAATGAGATCACCTGCCATCTTTTATACTTCTATGGTTATTTTGACTAAGTGTAGTTTAGTCCTTTTTTATTTTTTTTTGACATTTTACTATGCGCCCCCTCCATGATATTGCTCAATTCTCATTAAGAAATCATATTTTTATCAAAGTTATGTGCCATAATATTGAGGGATCTCTATATTAAGTCCCCTCAATATTACTATGGTATAATCTTTTGTGCCAGCATTGTGTTCATCCTTACAAAAAACCACCTTCTAATTCTTATTCTTGATTGCATTTCAAAGATTGGAGCTTTCTCTATTACTAAAGTCTAGTATTGCATACATCATGGTACCATACTGCACCATTTGGTATTTCTTTCTTTGATGAATCATTATTCCTTGTCCTGGATGCTAGACATGGCATCCCCTCTTTATACAATGCTTCAAACTTTTTATCATGATCATTGATTATATTTCTGTTGCAGATGGATTCGGATACTTTTGAGATAAAGGGGATAAATTTTTGTATGCAGTTTTTCTTTGCAAGTGAAGTTCGTATTAAATTATGCCTCATTTCAAATTTTTCTCTGGGTTAACTATGCCTCTTTAAATTGCCATTCTTTGTATATATATCTTTCTGTGCAATGTCTTCTACCCCCCCCCCCCCCCCCCCCTTCCTCCCCCACTCCCAGGCATTAAGGTTGTCCTTTTGTGCAAATGTCATGAAGTTTCACCAATTATTTGAGCTATTGATTTCTACAGTTTGATCAGTTTTAAATAATTTCGAATTGTTTACTGTCTCAATTCATATATAGTTTGATTTAGTGATTTGGCTTGGGTCCCTGGCTAAGTACTTTGATTGTTTGCTGAATTTTCTTCCTCACTCACATGCAGCTATAATTTTACCTGAACAGAGCGTGGCTACTGAGAAAGAAGGTTTATCTGTTAATAGTAGACGGCAGACATTAAAAGAGCTACTTATGCAAACACAACATCATAATAGAAAGATCCGTAGAGGTATGTTTCTTAACATGCTTTCGTTATTGAAGCTGTTGTTCCATATGGTCTTTATGAAATAATAAATTTTATTTTTATGATAGGTATTCTATTTTGTTTTTATGACTAGTTTGTTATGAAGGTGTGGTTTTCTAGAACTTGGGAATTTTGATTTTGTATTTAAGCCTGAAATCGAACCATTTATGAAGTTGAATATTGATTATCTTGAAGTTAGGGTTTTTTGTATGTTGTGTTTACGATAGCTTGCGAGATTTACTGTTTTTAACATCTAACTCTTGTGCACTTGTAAAGAAAAATTGTGTCCTAGTTGTGAGTAATTTGACATGGACATAAATGACCTAAAGACACTCCGTTTTCTTGAAGTTCTTGACTAGTCCTATTTTGGTTTCCTCCATTGTATGGCATGTTTGTATGATGTATGAGAAGAAAGACAAATAGCTACCTAATTGTCTCTCTCTCTCTCTCTCTCTCTCTTCTGTCTCTTGTTATTATGAAGATGCATTGATCGGTATGGGTGATCTTGCTCTTCAACATCCAAAAGAGATCGCGTTGCACAAATTCTCTGTAATAGAGTACTTGAGTGCACGTATTAGCGATCCTGACAATGTGGTTCGTGAAAGACTATATCAACTCCTGGAATCAAGAATCTTTCCTCTGATTAAAGAGGTATGTTTTGATAACTTATTCATTTGATGGTTGCAGGCTATGTTTTGTTCATTACTTTATTTATCATGTTTGTATTTGTTTGTTGTTGTATTTTTAGCATTGCAAACTTCAATGCTACTGTTATTTAATCTCTGGTAATGCTGGAAGCGGTATGTAATGCCCCCTTTAGATGGACAATCGTGAGAAAAATTTAAGTGGAAGTCTATAAGAAATTAATTTCAAATTAAAAAATACTGGATCATAAACCTACTAGCAATGACGAAATTTGGATTGGAGAGAAGGAAGCAAAGAGATAATAAGGAAGCACTATAACCAATATTAAAAAACACGAAGGCGGTCGCCCAGGCATTTTGGGTTCCTAGCTGCCCACCGAGGCAGGCTCCTAGAAACAACTTGGGTTTTGGTAGGGGGAGTTGGGGGTGGGCATCTGTTTGTATGTGTGTGTGTGAGAGTGTGTGTGTGAGAGAGAGAGAGAGGGGCCTCACATCAAAGAATTGGAGGACATCTTCTTTTTCCTCTTCTTCAGTTTCTCTTAGACATAGAGAGACAGAGCACATCGGCCTGTGAGTGAGAGAGAAGGGCCTTGTGCCCTTAGCCATTTAAATAGGCCTTAACTATTTTTTTATATTTTTAAGGGCTTTTTTTGGGTGGAACTAGGTGCATAGGGGTTTGGGGGGCTAGATTTGCTCCCCAGGGTGGCAATTAATTTTTTTGCCCTTGGCCTAGGGCTTTTTTCCACCCTTGGCCAAGTTGCTCCAAGGTGCCTTGAGGCGACAACCTACTTCTAGGGGCTGCCTGAGCGGGCGCCTAGGAGCAAGTACACGCAGGGCACCCGCCTAGGCATTTTGACCTCTTGGCCGCCTAGGCGGTCGGACGGCCGAATTTTCGAACAATGACTACAATCAACAAGATGGAATCAAGAACAAGCCATAATTGTTCACCTTTTGTTGAACCTTTAGGCCAGTAGACAACCCACAACTGCTTGATGCTCTTAGCATGGGACAAAAACCTCTCTCTTCTCTTTTTTTCCATCTGAATTTGAGACCTTTCAAATGTTTAGGGCGAAGGGAAAAAAACCTCCACACGATCTTTATTGATGATAAAGCATATGAAGGGTACCTATAGATTTAATTTGGTGGGTGTTGAAAAAGAAAGGGGTCACTAGAGGTTATATTGACATAGTGAGAGATATGTACAAGGGAATGCTAACTAGTGTGAGGACAAATAGTGGAGAGACAAGTGAGTTCTTAGCGGTGTTTTAAAATGTGGCCGCATCATGCGGGATTCGCTCGCATCCGCATCGTGAACTGGCGCATATGCGCTTTTGACAGATGTGGCCGCATATGCGTCGCATCAGGCCGCATCCCGCATTGTGCCGCATCGCGTCGCATCTGTTTCCGCAGAAACAATTATCTATTTTGCCCCTATGGTCCTTTTTAACTTCCAAAGTTTAGGGTAACTGTTTGGGGGGTTATTAAACCCCCTAATCGAAGATTTCCAGCCACTTTTGTGGCTTTTTTTGCATCAAATCGAGGGAAAAAGAAAATGGCAAACTTTCTTTTTCATCCAAATCTTCGATTTGGTGGTTGTTTGATACTTGGATGTTCATTTGATGCCTTTGATTATTGATTTGGGGATGTCAAGGTGAATTTGTGATAAGAGATTGGGGATTTCAGAGGCCTTGAAGAAATCGAGCACTACTTCACAAAGTCGGTAACTTTTTATTCCTCCTTGTGCAATAATACTGTTATATTTATTTTTGGGGCAATGTCTTCTTCCCAATCTTCTAGTAACAAGGATCCGGCTTGAAAATATGCTAAACTAAAAAATCCGAAAGATAGAAATTGTGTGATATGCTTGCTCTGTGGAAATACTTATATGGGTGGTATTTTTCGACAAAAAGAGCATTTGGACAGAATTTCTGGGAATGTAAGAGCATGCCCACGAGCTACATATGATATAAAAAAGGAGATTAGAGAATATTTGGTTAGATTGAAAAAAGATAAAGAGAAAAAAGAAAAGAAAAGAAAGGAATTACTTGATGATATGCAATTATTTGATGTTGTTGATGATGATGATGATACGTCTGAAGTTGCTATGAGACAAAGGGGTACTCATACTCCAACCTCAAAAGAGAGGGTTATAAATATTGATGGTAGTGCTGAGAGAAGAACACCTCTCTCTAAGGGGTCAATTGATTCTTTATTCACCCCTAGCCTCGAAATTGTGGTTCAGGAGAGAGAAAAAAGCAAAACAAACCACAATTGACAATAAATATAAGAAAGAACAAAGGAAGTCGGTATGTAAGTGGATTTACATGATCGACATTCCTTTTAATACTATAACTCTGGATAGTTTTCATGTATGGTCCAGGCAATTGGGCAATATGGCCCAAGACTTATTCCTCCTTCACTACATGATGTTAGGGAGCCCTTGTTGAAGGATGCTGTATTTGATGTGAATAAAATTTTGATTTCTTAGAGGGAAGGGTGGGAGAAATATGAGACCACTATTATGTGTGATGGTTGGTCCGAAGGGAAATCAAGGGCATTCATTAATTTTTTGGTTAACTGCCTAACAAGTACTTTTTTTGTTAAGTCTATTGATGCATCAGACAAGTCACATGATGGTACATAATTATGTGGCTTGATGGATGAGATTGTCGATTTTGTTGATGAGCAAAATGTGGTACAAATTATCACTGACAATGGTGCCAACTATGCTGCAGCTGAGCATTTCTTGACTTTGAAAAGGGAGCATATGTTTTGGACTCCTTGTGCAGCTCACTGTGTTAATCTTATGCTTAAGGAAATGGGTACAACATCTTTATTTAGTGGGGTGATTTGAAGAGCTATGTTTGTTGTTGGATTTATTTACAATCACACCATAGTCCTAAGCATGATGAGGTCTTTTACAAAGAAGAGAGAATTAGTGAGATGGGGTGTCGCTAGATTTGCCGCGTCATTTCTCACTCTTCAAAGCCTAGCCAAGCAAAAAAGTGCCTTTAGGACCATGTTTTCTTTAGAGCAATGGAGTCAAAGCATAAGGATGGGAGAAAGGTTGAAAAAATTATTCTGAATACATCTTTTTGGAGTCAAATAATTATTGCATTGGAGGTTGGCTCGCCCTTTAGTGAGAGTACTTTGACTGGTTGATGGTGATGTGAAGCCCGCCATGGGCTATATACATGAGGCAATGACTAGGGCAAACACTGAAATAAAAGATGTTTTAAAGGGTAATGAAAATATGCCCAAGGCTATACTTGAAATTATTGATAGGAGATGGGATACTCAACTTCACAAGTACCTCCATTCAGTCGGTTATTTTCTAAACCCATCTCTTCACTACAGGCACCCATCCATTGAGTCAGATCGTGTAATAAATGGTGGGTTCTTAGATGTGCTGGAGAGGTTGGTGCCAAACAAAGATATCCAGGATGAGATCCAGAGCCATGAATTGATTAAGTTCAAGTTAGGCTTGAAAAACTTTGGGAGAGATATTGCCCCCTCGAAATAGGGATATTACAGATCCAAGTGACGGCCAAAAGCCCAAAAATAATCTTACTTGTCTCTTACTTTATGTATAGTTCCATTTTTTATTTTATATCCTTAATTTTTAACTATATTCTAAATTATAAAATATTATACAGCTGCATGGTGGGCATTATATGGAAGCGAGACACCAAATCTACAACGTCTCGCTATTCGAGTGTTGAATCTCACATGTAGCTCATCTGGTTGTGAGCGCAATTGGAGTGCATTTGAGCATGTAAGTCCTTTACTCCTTAATCCTTAATCCTTATTTCTTGAATTTCAATTTTCTAATCTAAAATCTAATTTATCTGATTTCAAATTTCTACCACAGCTCCATACCAAAAAAAGAAAGAGGTTGGAGCAGAAAAAGTTGAATGATTTGGTTTATGTGCGGTATAACGAGTGGCTTAGGGAGAGGTATGAAAATCGTACGAAGCTCAACCCTATTCAATTATATGAAGCTGATGGTGATTCCATAAGTGAGTGGACTGTGGATCCATGATAAGAGCGTGTGTTTGAGGGTGAGGATCTTACATGGCTTGATGTCGGGCTAGCAACAGGGGTTAATGAAGAAGATCGACTTAACACTAGAGCACAAAGGAGTAGAGGAGGTGTTGGGTCTAGTCTCACTCGCACATTAGCTTCAGAGGTCGAGGAGGAAGCTGACACAGAGAAGACCGATGAAGAAGAATACATGGAGGCCGTCGAGGATGATATTGATGATGTGCATAACGACTCTCAAGATGACTTGTCTGATTGATATTTGAAAAACTGAAGTTCAAATTTCAAAATTGATTCTCAAAAGGGATGATTGTATTAAGTTACTATTTATTAACTATTAACTCTTCTTGAACTTGACTTTTGATTTGTATTTTGTAATATCATTATTTTGTGCTTATGGTTGTATTTATGGTTGTTGATGGTTGTGCTTAATTATAGTTGTGCTTATGGTGCAAATTTGTGCTGATGGTTGTTGATTGTTCAATGCTTTATGAAGCTGGTTTCAAGTTTCTAGTTTCTATCAGGGGATAGTGGATAACTAGATACAAAATCTCCGACAGCTAATAGTTTGAAGTTAATCATTAAACTAAAATACCTACTATCACATATATCACCTTCTTATTTTTTTCTATGCATTAACTTATTTTTTTAGATTTTTTAGAATTTTCTTACATTTATTGACCGCATCATCGCGATGCACCCGCATTCGGGCCGCATCGAGCTGCATTGCCGCATTGGCTCCCCACCGCATCAAGGCCGCATCCCGCATTTTAAAACACTGGTTCTTAGTGACAATATGCATACATCAAGGGTCAGCACTGTATCTCTTTGTTTTGGTTATGGAGGTACTGTGGTGTATGTTGTTCATGGATGACATAGTTTCGATCAATGAGACTAGAGGTGGCGTCAACGCAAAGTTAGAACGTTGGAGGGATGCTCTAGAATCTAAAGGTTTTAAGATTAGCC